TTACGTGTCTTACCATCTCCTCTGCCTCTCCATGGCTACAACCCTAGGTCAGCCACTCATCTCTGACCTGAGCTACTGAAATAGAGCTTGATCTTATTGACCGTTATTCTTGTTTCCATGAATGTTTCCTACCATCCATTACAACACTCAAAGAGACCTTTCAAAACATAATATCAGGATGGCTTTTTACTGAATGTAAAATAAAACTAATCATCCTTTCAGGACTTCCAAGGTTGTAATGGGTTGCATGTGTCACTAAAGAAGGTATGTCCACCTGGAAGATGTAAATGTGACCATCTTTGGAATAAAGGTCTTTGCAGATGTAATTAGTGGATATCTCAAGATGATCTCATCCTGGATTAGAGTGAGCCCTACATCCAACAGCAGGTGCCATGAAAAGAGAGGAAGACAAACTGAGGGATGAAGGCCATGTGAAGGCAGAGGCAGAGATTGGAGTTATGCTGCCACAAGCAAAGGAACACTAGAAGCCACCAAAATCTGGAAGAGGAAAGAGGTCTCCTCCTCTAGAGCCTTCAGAGGAAGCATGATCTGCAGTCACATTGATTTCTAACTTCTGGCTTCTAGAATTGTGAGATTAAATTTCTGCTGTTTTAAACCACACAGTTTGTTGCATTTTGTTACGGAAACCCCACGAAGCTAATACAAAGGCCCTACCGATCTGGCCTCTGCTTGTTTCTATGATACCATCATTACTACTCTGTTGTCACTCAATAGCTTCCAAACACACTTTCTCTGCCCTGATCTCAAACATGATATTCCCACCCAACCTATTAGTCTGTTTTCTCTGCCTGGACCCTCTTCCCCCAGTTTCTACTTGGTTGGTTCTTTCTTCTTAACCTTCTGGTCACAGCACAAATGTTAATTTCTCTGAGATGTAAGATGGCCTTTCCTGACCCCTTGCTTAAAATTGCAACCCATACTTCCTTGTTTTTATCTGCTCATAGCACTTATTATCATCAGACATAGTATGTGTTGTGCTTATTTGTTTATTTTCATCACCCTTTCCTAAAATATAAGTTCTGTGGGTATAGAAACTGGGAACATAGTTCATTGCTATAGACTCAGAACCTAGAAGAATGCTCAATAGATATTTAGTTAATAAATGAATCAGATATTTATTGAATAAATGAACTCAAATAAACTGTGCTATTGAAATCACTGTTGTTTGTGTTGAAATTCAAAAATAGTGGTAAAAACCCTGTGGCATACATGAAAGACAATTGATTAACTTTGAAATCTAAAAAGCTATCTACTTTAGAAAATATGGGTACTTCCCAGGACATGGTGACTTCATTAACTTGTTAGTTTCTCATGTGCTATACATTTGTCTAGCTGCTGCTGTACAGTCATTGATGTCTGGCATCTAGTCAGAGGTTGGCATTTTCATTTAAAAATTATTGACAGTGTCTGTAGAAAAGGGCACTAAAAATTTAGGGGATGATGAAACTTCTATATCTTGATTTTGGTGGCGGTTCCATGACTATATACATTTGTCTAAACTGCGTAACTGCATACTACAAAAGGTGAATTTTACTACATGTAAATTGCACCTTCATAAAAAATTTAAAAAAGAAAAGGGTAATCTTAAATAAATGAGAATGAGGGGCCGGCCCAGTGGCGCACTGCGCTAGTGCGCCGCTTGGGAAGCGCGGAGGCGCTCCTGCCGAGGGTTCGGATCCCACATACAGACCGGTTCCCGCTCACTGGCTGAGCGAGGCGTTTTCTTGCATTTGTATGGGCTTGATTGTACCTTGCAGAACACTACAGACCTTCCCTCATGTGTAATGCAAATGATACCCTTCACACAATCTGACCTCTGGAGAGAGAACATTGCCTACTTTTTAAATTTTCTGCTATACCACTTAACAAATTTGAGGTTGGTAAGGCAAAAAGTGCTACGACTGATCTCCTGACTCTTGACCAGAACTTTAGGGTAGCAATATCATAATCTGACTTGATCAATATGTAACATTTTTTCTGTAAGGAATTTTTTGCTTATGTGTGCATGATAATTCTCTTCATCATGTGGCATGTTGAGACACCATCTCACAGCTGTTGAGAAGCAGTGTTATAAATAAACAGCAGCTACCCTTAAACATGCTGCTGACTCCTGGCCATTCATATCTCACCTAAGTACTTCCTCTTTGCTTGTCATTAAGTAGTAGGGAAGGCATATATTGAGTTTTTCTGTCCTAACATTCATTATTACCTAAATTTTGGAGAGTCCTGGTTCCCTTTGGTAGAACAGAGGGCAGAATATTGAATGCTAAAGGGTACAAAATTGTTTCTAGCAGTAGACAAGTTACCATGGTGGTGGGTTTGGATACTTAAATGACTAATTAAGAAAGAATTTTGATAGACAAGCACTAAAATGAAGTGATTTCAAGAGGCTTTATTATGTTCTTTCTTATGGTACAATAACAATATTTCTCAGTTCTGAACCGTAATTTTCTCATATGATATATTTGATATGCCAAGCTATATATTGTTATAACAAATCATTTATTGACACTAAAATGCTGCTATAACTTTAGAAATATCAATATTAAAATATATATTAATTCACATATTTTAGGCACATATTGAGGCTAATTTCACATATTAGCCCTTGTGTTATTAGACCTGCATTTTTAAAATTCTCAAGTTCGTCTTTCCTGTGTCACCCAGCATTAGAGATCGTTAAGTGACTGATGAAAGCAGGATGCCAATTTTACAAAGGTCTGTTTCCTTGTATAGGATCATTCACATAATCTGAAGGCAGTGCACATCCCATGTGTATAGTGAATTTATTATTGCACACATACATTCTACACACAATGCAGAATCATTCTAGACACAATGCATTCAACTTAGCAAGCACATCATCACATGGAATGAACAGTATTGGATACTAAGGACAGGCCACGGGCACTGAAGCTGGAGCAGCCAGAAGTCAATATGGCAAGTTTCACTCTCACCAGGGCCTCCTCATTTTCTATGGCTTATGCCGTCCTGCACCCATAATCACTCTGTTTGTAGAAACGTTAAGAGAAGGTCATGAAGTAAGAAGTGAATTCCAAGTTTAAACTACTTCCAGGAAAAGAAAGAAGTGCTCCCACACTCTTCCCACTTTGTGAAGAGAGGGTTTTGCAAAGGTTTTTCAGCACTATTCTCTCTATGAAAATAATCTCTGCAAACGGCTCCATGGACAATGGGTGGGAGGAATCAGGGGACGTATATAAGTCTGGCAAAGAAAGTAAAGAGTTATGAGACATGTTGTGTCATGGAACTTCTGCCAGGCAAAATGGAGAACCACGGGGGAAACGAGCAGGACTGGGATGGTCCCAAGCTATGTTTTTATGGCTCACAGGCCCTGAAACCAGTGACGGGATTTGGTAGTATTCTTGCATACCATTGAAGTGTTGGGTCTGTTACACTTGATAGTTAGAGATGACCTTTAGTTGGGGGTGGGGAACAAGACAACAATGGATTTTCCCCTAAGGGAGGAGCACATATGCCTGCTGAACACTGGTGAGAAGCTACAGTTATGTCACTAGTGGTGCTTCTGCCTTAACAGAGGGTTATTGCAGTAGATAGAAAAGACTAAAGGGGCCAACTCTTCCCACAGAGCAAACTCCAGGATTGCTTCTCATGTATCAGCTATTCTATGCCACTTCCCATGTAAGAACACTTACTGGATACTGGCAAAAAGAAACGTGCAGAAGAGAGGAGAACACGTCTGAGGGGGATCAGCTGTGGTGTATTGGTGTCACAGGGGTTTCTGTCATGACAGTGCTGATGTAAGAAGGTTGCTTCTCAATTCCAGTTCCCCAAACCAGAAATTATCCTCTAATGTGGGCGGTATGTTAGATATCAAAGATGAGTGCTGGAATGTATCCCAAACCCTGCTGTGTAGTCCAACAGCTCCCCCATGTGTGGTTAAATTGGCTATAGCAACAGCTTGGAACTCTACAGATTAAAAAAAAAGTTTGCAGTATCAGAACATCCTGGGGTAAAACTCATTGATATTTTCTTACAAGAAATTGGGGGAATATAGCTTATTGATATCTGTTAGGATTTCATGATCTGTGGATGGCTTTGGATAATGTTGGCAGGAGATGAGTCTGGCAAGGAGCTGTGGAGTTTTGAGCCAAAGGGTAATATCCCTGGGTAAAAATGGGTTGGTTCACTAATAAGGCAATTTAAATGAAGACCTTTTTCACTAGTAAATATTTTTCAGTATGGGAGCCAATAAACGTTATAAAGTAAGCAAACTGCAGCTACAGAGAATAAGCTGGGGCAAGATTACAATAGACCAAACTGAAAACATTCATAGACGTGCAAGGGTACCTGTACGTCCTTTGCTAGTGTCTCAGACTAGAGATGGCTCAGGAACAAACCTGTTAAAGATGTTCTGCCACTTTAGAGTGTCTCCATCCCCTTGACTATATGTGAACATAAAGATCACTGCCTCTGAGAGGCTCTATTTTCCCAGTACTTTTCTAAATGCCTCTTTTACATCCCTGTTCCTTAGACTATAAATGAATGGGTTCATCATGGATGTTATGACTGAGTAGAACACTGAGATCACCTTATCCCCCTCATTCATTTTCTTTGAATTTGGCTGCATGTAGGTAAATATTGTTGATCCATAGAAGAAAGTGACAGCAATGAAATGGGAACCACAGGTAGCAAAGACCTTGAGCCTCCCCTCTCTTGACTTCATTAGAAGTGCAGTGGAGATAATATTCCAGTAGGAGAAAAGGATGAGAGAGACAGGACCTAGGAGGATTACCACACCCATTGCAAAGATGGCCATTTCTGTGCTATAGGTATCTTCTGAAGCCAGCTTTAGGAGGGCAGGAGGTTCACAAAAATAATGATTAATTACATTGTGTCCCTTGTATGGGAGATGTAAAGTGAATGTGGTGTCTACTACAGATACCAATGCTCCGCTGGCCCAGGACCCTGCAACCAGCTGGACACAAATCCTCTGGGTCATGAGGGTGGAGTAATGCAGGGGCTTGCAGACAGCCACATAGCGGTCATAGGACATCACTGCTAGAAGTGAACTCTCCGTACACCCCACTACTAGGAAAGAAGCCATCTGAATTGAGCACCTCATAAAGGAAATGGTCTTTCTCATGACCAGCAAATGGAATAGCATCTGGGGAACAATAATTGTGGAGAAACAGAGATCAGTAAATGACAAGTTTTCAAGGAAGAAGTACATTGGTGTGTGAAGTCGAGAGTCACTGTGAATTAGAAATATAATGAGCAGATTACCAAACACAGTCAGCAAGTAGATGATGAGAAAGACCACCAACAGCAGGATCTGGGTTGGAGGATCTGAAGAAAGGCCCACCAAGATGAATTCAGTCAGATAGGTCTGGTTTTCTTTGCCCATTGCTGTTTTTTTTTTTTCCTTTTTGTCTTTTTTACTGACCGGTAATGGGATCGCAACCCTCGGTGTCATGCCCGTACCGGGGACCGGCAATGGGATCGCAACCCTCGGTGTTGCGCCCGCACCATGCTCAGCCAGTGAGCGGGAACCAGTCTCCACATGGGATCCGAACCCTCGGCGGGAGCGCCGCTGCACTCCCAAGTGGCGCACTCTCCAGTGCGCCACCGGGTTGGCCCTTCTTTGCCCATTGCTGTTTATTCCTGTCTACAGATTAGTAGAAGTAGAGCAATCAAATGCTGACCCTGATGGAACACCAAGCGCAGAACGTGAAGGTCTCATTGGAAGATGAAAGGTCTGTAATTTTAAAAATTCTTGCAAACATTCAAGACACTTGATTTTCTAAATTTCCGTTCCTATCTTCCCATTGAAGCCATTTGGTTGGTAGGTGCAGCAGAACCAGGAATGTGCCTTCTTGGTAGTTTTTGGTGGCAAAGTGCTATGATCCAGAGAGTCATTCTTCAACAATTGTGTGGATAATGTTAAGAAATGTCTTCATTGTAAATACATATTATCTTTCTGAACCAAAGAAAATGAATGTAAATACATTATATGAATTTGAATAAATATGTTTAAAATTCTCTCATAAGTAGAAAGCCCAGGTTGTCTTTTATTTACTAGTTTACTTATGATACAGCAGATTTTAGCTTTAATTTAATCAAACAGCAGACGCCAAAAATCAGTTTTTAAATTTTGTTTCCATTGATCTGTTCTATCAATGTTCAAAGCAAGAGAGAGAATTTTAAGAGGCTGTTTTTCTATCATGGTATAATTCAAAGTCTTGGTCTTATCCTCTTCTTTATTGGATTGGAGAAACAAGTCTTGATGGCAATGGCAGTGCTCAAGAATATGTATTCTCTCATAAGTGGGAACTAAGAGATAAAGAAGAAAGGAAAGAAAGACCACAGTGGTCTGTTGGACTTGTAGAGGGAGAGAACGTACCTACGGTTATGAAGTGGAGTGGGGAAAGGGGGATGGGGAGGGAGGTCAGGGATAATTGAGGGGATAATTGGATGTAGGACACAGGTTATAAGCACAATTTGTGCTAATGAACATGCTGCCAGTATGGATCTGGCCATCACGTCTTAGGCATGAGTGGTGACGATTTGGTTGTACCACATGAATATTCATAACCAATAATTAATTAATTAATTAATTAAGAGCAAGACTTCAGAGGACCCAATTGCCATGGATTCAAGACAGAGGAGAAGTGGCCAGATTTAGGCAGCACCATACACTACGAGGGCTCTTCCTGGAGACTCAATTCAGATGCAACAGCTGTCTGCATAGTTGCAATGTTTTATCTCGTATAATAATGTTTGACTTCATTCATGCAGCAGTTTGATTCAGCACATCCAATTGGTTCTATAGGTGCATTGACAAGAAAACAGGCACTGGTCCAATGTTCTGAAGCCAGGCAGGAAACACTATTCAAAGTCTATACTTTGCTGGATGTCAGCAATAAATAGGGAATAATATGGCTGTATCCAAGCTAATGGGTAAGTAGATCAGAAAGAGTTAGGGAAGGTAGCAGGGTCATGGGCAAATGGCTAGGACTCACAGCTGGAGTCTGATATCTCTGGAAAGGTTTGAAGTAGTAATACCAGAACTGTCCATTACAATGAAGGAAGTGTCAGAGAAGAAAGTCAGACCTCCTGGCAGGACCATCTTCAGATAGGGAAAAGTCAAAGATTGCAAACAAATAAGGGTTTGTTTTTACACATAAGACCCCCTGTTTAGCTGGCAGTATAGGATAAATGTGAACAGAATCCTTGTGGCTGGACCACTGGCTCCAGTACTGTCAAGTAAGTCTTGATTTCAAGATCATTGGGTGACAGTGGGGTTTCCATTCATAAATTTCCCCAGATTGGATCTGATTTGAGTCCAGCCTGAAACTACAGGAGGGTCCATTGGCTTTGAGGGGCCAGGAAGGCAGTGATAAAGTTTTTGACATCAACAGCCAAAATCCTCTCTTGTTTAAGTCAATGATTTTGAAACTGTGATTTATAAAACATTCATGGGTAATAAAAAGAATGAGTGGGTTACCACCAGCATTTATTAAAATTGAAGAAGAAAATAAAACACTATCTCTTAGAATAATATAAGCATATGTTCACAGATATATTGGTTTCAATTTTACTTGACTATGTGTCTGTACATTTGTAAGTGTGTACTGGGTTGCAATGTAAACCATGTTCCTTATTAAGGGTTATCATCAAAAGCTTTAAAAAGAATACTGGTATCAGTCAAAAGATCTTAAGGACATCCATAAAGTAACCCATTACTGACATAATTTTTCAATAATTTGTGATAAGTGCATTTTTTAACTGCTTCATTATAGTAAATTTACATGCAATGAACTGTACATACATCACACAACTTGATGAGTTTTGATATAGGTATATAAGAATACGTTTTCTGAAGGTACTTATTAAGTGTACATGATTTAATTGTTTACAAGCTTCTCTCCCTGACATGGCTCTAAGTTTCTTCAGGGTAGTAATCCTATCTTACTCCATATATCTGAGTTTGGGCATGTAATACATTTTCAAGAAATGTTCACAGACTGAACTAACGAGTTAATAGCTGAATACATCCAGGAATAAACAAACGTACTCCTTCCTCACACACATACACTCAAATAATCCTAAGCACTATTTCTCCTATCTAAAGTGCAGTATGAAATTTGAAGGCACAGCTGATGCTGGTCCAGCTAGGTGATCTCCTTGGAGTGGGAAGAGCCCATGACAAATCAGAAGAAGAAACAAGGTATGATTATCTGGGCTACCTGTGCAAGCGAGAGGGCATCATTGCTACTCCTCCTTCTTCCAGTGAAATAGGTTCTTCTTCCTCAATTTTCAATTCTGTTCTCTTTCTCATTGTTGTCTCCAGGGAGTGTATCAATGCCTCTGAGAACTATGGTACTGGTGCTTGCAGTACCCACACACCCAACATTAGTACTCACCAAGGTCTGGCTCCTTTCCACTTTCCAGACAATTGGTGACCAATTGCTGGAATCTCTTGTCTTGCATTGTAGTCAGTGTCCTATGTAGGCAGTGGGTATCACCAAGAAGAGATCATGAGAAAAGTAAAAGAGGAAAAGAATACTAATGATGAAAGGGCTGAACTATCAAAGGACAGGGAGATTCTGGTAGTGGGAAAGGGACAGCTAGTTTGAGTTACGATTCTTCCAGTTTCTTGGTACTCTCAGCACCTAAACTTACCCCCCGATGAAGGGCCTAATAGCAAGATTTTTAAGGCTGAGGATTCTAGAGAAGAAGGGAAAAAGAAAAATCTCTACTCCCAAATAGACTGTGGGTTTTACAAATAAGGATTCAACTTTCTCCTGGATGGACTCAAGATTTTGGGTTTTGGAGATTCTTGTTTCCTTCAGACTGTTTTTTCGTGGTCACTGTAGCATCTTCCTCCTTACCTGGAAGCCTGAGATGAGTTTATTCCAGAGATGGGGAACTACAGATGAGGTGACCTCACACTAAGTACAGTAGATTGGTCACTGTAGCATCTTCCTCCTTACCTGGAAGCCTGGGATGAGTTTATTCCAGAGATGGGGAACTACAGATGAGGTGACCTCACACTAAGTACAGTAGAGATCCAGAGATCTAGTCTGAAGATCTCTGTTAGGTATTAGTCCCAGTCATTCCTGTTCATCTCTCCTAACAATTGGGCATGAACTGGGCTTTGCAGTGGATCCATTCCAAGCTCTTGCTGTTTTCTTGACTGAGGTAAACACTTTATTTTCAACCACCAACACTGAACTAAATCTTTTCCTATGCAGAATTCTTAAAAGGTTCAAGTCCTGGTAGGTGATGCAAACAAGATATTCCCAAGGGGCTTCCTTTATTATTCCTTTACAAAATGAGACACCTTGGGGCATTAGTTTCATGTAATCACAGATTAAATTCTGTGACTGTCCTCTAATTTCCAATCATTCCTTAAAAAATGAAGTTCTACATGCTGTGAGCTTCAGAAGGACCCTGGAAGCCACCTATATCTGTCCCTTCTCTCTGCTTGGCAGCAAAGATGAGTGTAAAGTGCATACAGGCAGCCATTTGCATCCTTTACTTTAAATCCTCAAAACATAGAAATTTTCACCCCTCATCAGCTGTTCTACAGTAGAGCTTAAAATCATTTTTAACAGAAAGGGATGCTGATTTTATCAAATTTTTTTTTTGCATCTCTTGAGATAATATATAGTTTTTGTCTTTAATTTTGGTGATGTCATGTACCACATTTATTGATTTGTGTATGCTGAACCATGCATACTTCCCTGGGATGAATCCTGCTTGGTCATGGTGTATAATCTTTTTGATATGCAGTTGGATTCTGTTTATTAGTACTTTGTTGAGACTTTTTGCATCTAAGTTCATCAAGGATGTTGGCCTGTAGTGGTTTGTTGTTGTTGTTGTTGTTGTTGTTGTTGTTGTTGTTGTTGTTGTTGTTGTTGTTGTTGTTGTTGTTGTTGTTGTTGTTGTTGTTGTTGTTGTTGTTGTTGTTGTTGTTGTTGTTGTTGTTGTTGTTGTTGTTGTTGTTGTTGTTGTTGTTGTTGTTGTTGTTGTTGTTGTTGTTGTTGTTGTTGTTGTTGTTGTTGTTGTTGTTGTTGTTGTTGTTGTTGTTGTTGTTGTTGTTGTTGTTGTTGTTGTTGTTGTTGTTGTTGTTGTTGTTGTTGTTGTTGTTGTTGTTGTTGTTGTTGTTGTTGTTATATCTGTCTGATTTTGGTATTAGGGTGATGCTGGCCTCATAAAATGAGTCTGGGAGAATACTCTCTGCTTCAATTATTTGGAGTAGTTTGTGAAGAACTGGTATTAATTCTTTAAAAGTTTGATAGAATTCCGTAGTGAAACCATCTGGTCCTGGGCATTTCTTTGTTGGGAGACTGGTGGCTACTGTTAAATAAAATATCTAATGATTCATCAAAATATCTAATG